TGGCATGAACTTGTCACAATGTGTGCCCTTTTAATGGAACTACCCAATCTGGGGAACCTTGATGAATCAAGTCATGTCCAGCCAAAGTCCAGTTCAGTGGTTCCCAGTTTATGAGGAACCGTGTGATATTCTTTCCCGCTGGCGTGATCAGAGACAGCTGTAGTTCATCTCCGGGTAATGGAGGTGTCTGGGTTCTGACAACAATGATGACACATAGGGGCATGGTTGCTCCCCAAACAACGGAGGAAACCAGGACTATCCTGCACCTTCTGCCACCTGGGAGGCTGTCACAGGTTGTATTTGGTGGTGTATGTCCCTTTCAAGACCACAGCAGCTTACAGAAGAATGGGACGGAGTCTGGTGTGGTCTTAGTTTCATAACAAAACTTGAGTGACTCCCCGGTGGCACTCTGCGTGCAATTGGCAACGCTTTCCCAGGGGCAACCTGAGGATTTGCCGACAGTGTAGAACTGGTAGCGACGGTACAGGGCCAGGGGGTTGCTCCCATTCCCATAGAATTCATGCATGTGGCACAGCAATTTTACTTCCTGGGTTCCAGCTGGCAAGCACCTCCAGAGGTTCAGAGGGATCACAGGTTCAGCATAGAGCCTGGACAGCATCAGACTCCAGACACTTATGAACAGCAGAGTGCTGGTGCAATGGTGGGATATCATGGCTTGTGTTTGGGACCTATGAAGGGGCAGAGACAACAAACTCCCACATTTCCCCCCCCCCCATATATACTGGGAGAGTCTGGGACCAATATTGCAGGATGAACATGAAGCAGTGACCTACATGAGAGTGGCCATAATAAGTCAAGGATTTCTCTGGCCTTTTCCTGCCTCAACATCAGGGTAGGCACTGACAAGCCCACTGATACGTATTTTCCAACAGCCCCAAGCCTGTCCTTCTTGCTGGCCAAGAAGAGTGGCTAGCAGGATGGAGAAGACAGTTATACTATTCCCTGTGGGTCAAGTGGTTTACTCTTCCACTCTTTTACCTGATAAATACTGGGGCTGGCCCAATTCACAATAAAGCAGTGGCCATCCCAGGTGAGTGTCAAAGAGTGCTCCTTTGCTGAAAACTTTCTGTACATTACTGGTTGGCCTAATTGTTATATGTACAAAATTCTCTTACTTACACACTCTAGGGGCACCCACCTTTACCCTGTTTGTATGGCTCCAGGTGAAAGGCACCTAACTTTACTCCTCCGTGGGATCCAGGCAAACACCCTTTCCCCGTGGGCTCAGAGCAAACACCCTTTCCCTGCGGACTCGGGGCTTAATCCTTTGTGGGTTACAGGGTCTCCCACCAGCGAAAGAGCCCCACACAGCAATACCCCATTCAATCTCCACCTATCAACAATCACCAAAACAGAATGCACACGCCATACACACAACACTCACAACTTTTAATAAGACAGATGAACCCTTCCTGATGGCCAGCCAGGATCAGGTCCATCTAGGGGACTCCAGCCTCTGCACGGTGCCACCGGCAGAGTGCTGAGGTCTGGCAGCTCCAATCCTGGGGCTGTTTCCTGCAGTTGGTTCCCTTTCCCAGGGGCATTTCCCTTTCTTCATTACCCAGTTCTCTAACCTGTTGGTTTTCTCCTGTCTCAAGCGAGCAGCCAAGTTTTTTTTTCCAGCCATCTCTACGTCCCTTATCTCACTAATGATCCCTACCCAAAAGCCCTTTCACGCAGTCCCAGTATTGCTCTAAAATCTTTACTTTTAAGGCACAACTCTTTAACTCCTTATTGCATGGTCCTACAGTTATTCTAAGCATGATTCTTAAAAGTTACAGGATGTTACAAAATATTCTATGAGAGAGAGACCTCGCTAAAGGAGTTTAGTCTGAAAAAGGAAGAGAGTTTGCGCAGGCCTGTGCCTCAGATTACCCACTCCACAGCAACTACTCAACAAGTACCGCGTGACTAAGGTCACGTGCTGCCCGAATTCCCCACCAATTTGTTACCAGCTTTGCTCATTACTTTGGGATATGCTCATTTATTAGGGTTACTCTTCGGAGGAGGGGGAGAGGGTTTCTGTACTTCTATCAATGTACTGCTTGTGTCACTTGTGTTCTCATACAGAGCTCTATTTTTCCTTGCTGCATATTCCCTCCCAATGGCGCTATCCAGCAGGACCTAAGTTCCCCAGGGCAGGGTTCTTCCAGCCCCAGAATCAGATTCACTCACTCTCTCTCTAAAAGAGCACATCTGAGAGTACTGGGTTAATCAGCACTTCCTAGCTCCCACCCTCATACGTACCTGGTTCAGCATATCTCTATCCCCACTTTCATGTTACAATTGTTCTGGTAGTAACCCACTTCATGAACAAACCCCAGAGGATTTTTGGGCGCTGCAGGGATCTTTTAGTTTAGGTACAAGGAGTGTTGGTGCAGAGCGAATGAGGAAACCAAAAACAAAAACAAAAACCACCCACGAGAGGGGGAGAGAGAGAGAAGTAACCAGCTTAATCATAAAAGTTATTTATTGCCAGGTAATAACCATAGGGGAGTCAAACAAACAAAACAGTTATAATATTAAATCTAACTTAAATTTTATTATAAAAGTCAGGTTTACAAAACTATGACTGATCACAAAAGTCAGGGTCAGAATGCTATACCTAGAGAGAGAGAGAGCTGGGTTCTCATCACTCCATGAAGCTTGAATCGATCAGGGGTCCCAGGTGGTGGTGGTAGCTGAGGGTCTGGAGTGGTGGGGTCGGGCAGAGCCCCCCAGCATGATCAGTCAGGAGAAGATGAAGTCCCAATAGAACTGATGCAGATTTTGGATCCAGGCATCAGAACACTTACATGAGCGTGGGTAGGAGTTTTTGTAGCTAAACAACAATGGTTCAAGGGAGAACACTAGATTTGTGTCTGTGTAAACAAGGGAGTATACTAAAGTTGTTTTTGTTCAGGCTAGACCATGGGAGCTGAGCATTCCTTGCTTTGGGTGGTGGTCCTTGGAGGGTTCTCACAATGCAATTAGGGAGCTTCACTATTCTGGATACTAATAAAGGATTTATTACTAGGATTGGTCTGATAATTACTGAGCTGGGTATGTGCAGGCATGAGTTCATTAACTTCTGGAGCAGAGATCCCCCATGATGCAGTGGTTCCCTGCTTTTCTGGTCCCAGAGTTCCATGCAGTTCTTGCCTTGGAATCTCTGTTCTCCATTCTGTATGCTAATGGAGATGCCTCCTTGTCCCATCTTTGATGCAAATGAGGCTAGGGGAGTTTCCTTAATCTTGTCATCCTTATCCCAGGGGTTTAGGTGTGTCTCCCACTGCCTTTTCATTGCTTTTTGTCAGTCTTTTTTCAGATGCAGATTTGCAGAGGCTGGGTTTGGGGAGGTCTTTTATGAATCAGACAGGCTGGGGGTACTGTGCCCTGGTTCCCCAAGAACACAGAGCTGCTAGGTAACACATCTAATTAAGCATCAGTATTTGCCATTATCACTGAGCTTTATTGTATTCTATGAAAACATGCCAATGTTATGGTGATGAAATCAGTATAAATGCTTAAATTTTAATGGAGTGCCAGCTCTGTTACCATTTAGAGTTAAGACCAGCTTTCTGTTTAAAACTGGACTCTTCTAAGTGCTCTAAAATACTCTGATGAATCATCATTGAATTACCTCTGAGCCCGCCTAAGCCTGATGACTCATCCCTGTGCCAGCAAGTGTGATAAATCATCAGAGCCAATTAACTCCCAGTCTTGTGATACACTATTCAACCAGGGTTTGGCCAATTCACAGGTGAGGGCCCAACCATGTGATCCCATGGCAGGTATATAGGCTCCTAAAGCAAGCTGTCTCTCTAGTTTACTTAATGTAGCTATGTGGTTGGGAATGCTCCAAATGCCTAGTTGTTTTAACAGACAGCAGCTGTGCTAGCTAGTCTCTGCTCCTTCCTCACCTGGCTGCTAGACAATTATGTTGCAAGAATGTTAGGCTTGCAAGGACAAGTCCTCAAAAGTTAGGAAATACTAGAGTTAAGTTTGTCTGTATATGTGAAATAGCAATTTTTAGAGGTTTACAACTCAACCAAATCTGTGTGGATTTTCATGGGGACAACATAAGGCACCACTTTGACCCCAGGTATACCCCCATCCAAATGTCCAGTTTCTATTCCAAAGCCTGGAGGTAATAGAGTTCTTCAAATAAATGTTTAGGAAAATACTTAATGTTGGGAAAACTACTTATTTCCCTCTAAGCTCCTTATCAGAAACACCTGAACTGTCTTCACTGAAGCTTCCAAAAGAATTCAACATGAAGCAGAGAGCAAAGATGGAAAATATAGGTCTGAAAAGTTAAATTATGGCAAAGTTCCACTTAGAATAGGAGCTTAAAATGGAAAGTGTTAGGTATTCTTAACCAGAGGTATTGCTTCCAGCTCAGCCAATAATGTATCATTTAAACAAATTGTATTAGAATTACATCTGTTGAAAACTGGTGACATATTTCACATGAAATTTTGTGTCTCAGATTTTGTTTTTCTATGTAATTTGGAAAAAAAAACACACCACCACCACTCTTTTTACATTAAAATAATGTGAAACTTTTTATTTGAATTTCAAAGGCACTCTTGCTCCAAATTTGCCTGTCAATTGAGGTTTGATCTCTGAAAGATAGTTTAATATGTTAATAATTCTGTACTTGTGTCAGCCTCAATCCTCTAAGGAGATACACACAAGTAAAAGGGTCTGCTTATGCAGAGCTTCCCGTAAAATATATTTAAATGCGTAAAAACAGAAGAAGCCAGGGGACGGGGAGATAAACATTAATCTTTGATATTTATAATGCAAGGAACTATTCAGAAACTATGGGCCTGATCCTGTAACTGGACCCATGAGGCTGGAACTCTACGCATGTGTGAACACATACAGAGAAAGCAGGATTTGAGGCCTAAAATATTAATCTCTTAATGTTCCTGAATGTTGTTCTGAGGTGCAATATTAACGTTAAATTGAAAAGGACCTGCTTGTTTCAACAGATCCATCATCTTTGGAGATCTGGTAAGATGGGCACAAAACCCGTTCTTGTAGTCCATGGTGGAGCTTGGGCAATACCAGATGAGTTTGCTGAAAGAAGCATCCTGGGAGTTAAAAATGCAGTTAAGAATGGCTTTGCAGTGCTGGAAATGGGAGGAAGTTCAATGAAGGCTGTTGAAATTGCTGTGCGGGCCTTAGAAGACGATGCTGTGTTTGATGCAGGTAACTGCAGTAACTTTTTAAAAAATAATTTCTTAAATACTATAAATCATCTTAGTTTTGATATATCCACAGTGTTGCCCCAAGAGTTTTCTCCATTTTGTGTTTATTTTTATGCTGCTTCTTAAGTGTTGTTGCATCTGCCCACCAAAGACTTTATTTACACATTTCCCATGGAGCTGATTCAGTGCTGGATGCTATGCTGCTTCTTCATGCTGTTCAGTAATTGCTATTTTTTAAACAAGTATTTACTGTTGTGTGGGTGGTTGAGAGATCTATAGCTAAGGTTGCACTTCAGCAGATATCCTTTTGCTTTTTAGCAAGAGTAGTGAACAAAAAATGGACAAAAAAAGGCTTTTTGGTGTTTTCTCTTAATATTTAACAATTCAATTTCAAGTTTTAATCTGTTAAATCAGAGTTCTTAATACCATCAGTCCACAAAAATCCTATAGGTTAATAAATGTTTAAATAACTGCCATTACTGTGATGCTTCCCAGGGGTATGCAGGGTTATGAGGCACCTCACTACCACCTGTCCGTAGCATGAGGGAGCTTGTCTGTAGAGCCTTGTGTGGATACAAAATTTATATCAAAACAGCTATCCGCAGGGCTATACCAGGAACCATGGGGCAAAAGCAACAGCATGTCAGGCCGCTGCTCGCAGGAACTAGCACCCAGCCCAGGCAGCTCCTCCAACATGGTTGTACCGCCCTGAGCTCTGTCCACTGGGCACCAGGCTCACCGGCAGCTGTCCCCGGTCATGCCAGTGTGTGCAAGCTGCTTATATGCTCTCGGACAGGAGACATGGCCTGTTGCATGGAAGGGATTGCTGTTTGGGAGTGTATGAGTCACTTTGTTTATAGAGAAAGCAAGTATAAGTTTATTTAATGCACAAGAGAGATTCAAATTATAGCAAGCAGAAATATTGAAAACAAAGGGCTACCTAGAAAATAAAAATGTAACATGCATACTAGAGCTTAAACTTAACCACAAATTCATTGCCATGTTATGTAGAGCAAAAGCTCACCCAAAATCTAGCCAGCCAGGCTTAGCTGGGATCTTCTGTTCATGAGACAAGTCAAACTGTCTTCTTGCCTCCTTAGTGGAAAGATCCAGAGTTTGTCTCCATCACTAAGTTATAGTCCAAAAGCCATTGTCTTCCCTTGCAAACAGGGTAATATCTGCTTGTTTTCCTCTCTAGAATCTCCCCTAGAGACTTTGCAAATACTTGATTAGCATTTAGCTCAGACTGTAAATAGGTGTTCATTGTGACGCATACAATACTCAGTTTGCATGTAGACAGACTGATAAAAGAAACTTGTTTATCATCTTCTGGTGACCAGCCCCAAGTCAGACTGTAAAAACATAAGTTTCAGTATATATACATAACTCCTCACATACTATCCGTACATACATCTCATAGAGATTATGATGAGCAGTGTGACAGGCTTTCATTAGAGACCTTACATAACACTCTTTGAACAAGTATACAAATACCAAATCTAGGGGATCTCTGTAACCCTTATGCAGCCCTCTGCAAGCTTGCACTCAGAGGTCCCTGGGTTCATAGGTGCAATGTTTCTAATCTGCTGGGGTGTGTTCCCTCCCCCCGGGCTCGCCTAGGTCCCATCCCACTCCACCCCTTCCCCTGAAGGTCCCACCCCCACCTGCTTCTTCCCACCCCTGCCCCACCTCTTCCTCGCCCAGTTCCACTCTCTCCCCTGAGCATACTGTGCCCTCACTCCTCCCCCGCAGTGCCTCCTGACACCATGAAACAGCTGATCCACAGCATGCACTCAGCGCTGGGAGGGAGGTGGAGGTGCTGATCTGAAGGTCCTGCTGGTGGGCAGGAGGCACTGGGTGGAGGGGAAGGCTCTGATAGGGGTGCTGCCAGTGATTGCTCAGCACCCACCATTTTTTTTCAGCCATGGAGCATCCATGGAGTCGGTGCCTGTCCCTGGGTCCCAATTAATTAATCTCTGTGTGAATAATGACAGCTTCTTAAAAACACAAGGTACCAGGAACTGCTTCAGGTTGATGGGAAGGATGTTTTTTTTGCTAGGGTATAGATGGTGATGTGCAGTTCCATTCATGGACTGGGTAACCTCCCACCTAGAGGTCATCAACTTTAGGACATGCTGGCATGGAGAAGAGGCTGGAACTGGACCTGAACTGGGAACAGGATTTGGACAATTGCTGGTGCTGCAGTCAGACTTCGGTTGTTCTGGAACCTGCTAGCCATCAGTCCCAGCACATGCTCAAACAGGTCCCTCTGCTGCTAGTGCTTTTGTTGCTGTTGCTGGTGGTCCTGCCACTTACGGAATGGTAGTGGGAGATGCAATGCACAACCATCCTCTCCAACATGCTGTCAGCTGCAGCCTGATTCTGCCAATCCCATTCCAGCACCTCTCTCTGCAGATTGAAGAGGTGGTTTGACCTCTTGATGAAATCCCCATGTATCTTCATCAACATTTATTCCTTCTGCATCCAAGGTTCTGGATCATGGTGTTGTCCTCCTAGATGAATGCCTCACTTGGATTGAGAATAGTATATTTTTCTGTCTGGAGGGGATAAAAGTTTTTCCTCTTTAATTTTCTGCATCACAGCCTGGGAAAAGTGACAAGGGTTTTCTCCTGGGCATTCCTTCTCCTCCATCTCTGCATTTCTCTGCCCTGAAGCTGCTTGGTCCTAAGGAACTTCCCCATCTTCACAATGAGAAAATCTTTTTTTACATTTTTAATTTAAAAAAGCAGTTTGATTGTTGCCCCTTCAGTTTCAGTCTTGTTACCACTGGTCTACATAGATACCTCTTGCATGGTGTCACAGTTCAGGGCAACCGCACCTGTATTTCCCCTTAGTGGTCCAGCAGGGGCAGCTGGATGTTGGACCTGTATTTCTGACAGACTTTGCAAGTGCTCTGGAACTTAATATTCCACCAGCCAGGAAACAGACCTATTCCCTAAGCCGGTGTTATTTTCTAAAGTTTGGGCTGCCCTTAAAAATGCTAGTGCCAGTTTGAGAAAAAGCATGCTGCTGTGTGTGCCCTATGTAACTATGTTTGTCCCTGTGTTTTCTGGCCTTGCTTGTCTTGTATTGCATAAAACTTCTACCCTCCCACATACAGTATCCTGCACGACTGTAACTGGCAATGGTGGCCTCTTCTGTTGTCATATCTCCCTAATCATATCAACAATGTTGAGTTATTCTCTTACCCATCTGAGGCAATGCTTGTCCCCCTGCAACATTCTCCCTGGTCTGTTCCTCCATCTCCTCCCCCAAACAAATTGGATTGGCTGTGCCAAGAAGTGGTGAGTGTCTGCTCTGCCTCAGTTGAGATTGCTGTGGCCAGCCCTAGTTTCAGCTCCTTCTCTGAGTCCTCAGCATTTGGTTGCTCCCACTCATTGCATCCTGGACACCTCAAGACCCCTTGGTACATAGGCTCCCTGCTTTGGGCACTGCTGAGCACCCAGTGCAGCTCCTGATAGAAAAGGGGAGTTACTGGACAGGGTGTTGTGGTTCTTTGCCTGGCAGTACAGATTCTTCAGGAATTTTATCTACTGCTGGCACTAAGGTCCAGTCTGGTGAATCTCTTCTTCATCTGTAATGGAATGGGTTACCTAAGGAGGTGGTGGAATCTCCATCCTCAGAGATTTTTAAGGCCCAGCTTGACAAAGCCCTGGCTGGGATGATTTAGTTAGTGTTGGTCCTGCTTTGAGCAGAGGGTTGAACTAGATGACCTCCTGAGGTCTCTTCCAACCCTAATCTTCTATGATTCTATGATCTAACTTACTGGAGATTCAATTTTCAGTTTTGCACTCAAATACATATGTCTTGCTGGCCTCATACTACATGTCCTCAATAACTATGATGTCTGCCTCAGTCCAAGTAGAAGCATGCTGATTTGCTCTTTTGGATGCCATATGATTTGAATAAGTGCAACAGGAGCACTATACAGATGTTACAGGTACAGAAAGCTGTGTACTAAGGTAGGGTCCAAATACCAAAGCAGGTTATTTATACTACCTGGAGGTGACTTTTATAGCATTAGAGATAGGTAGGTAGACACAACAGAGGCCCCGGGGGAATTTTGGAAAGTTGTGGGGGGATGTCTGTACAGCACATAATAGCTCAAGTCTCAGCAGCACTTGATCTTCAGTGGGGCTAGCTCAATTTTAAAGCACCACCACTCGAGCTAGAGATTTTTCTGTGTGGATGGGAGTCAGGATGCGGTAACACTCAAGTTATATCTTGAGTTAACTTTGCAATAAAGACAAAGCCTTAGCTCTAAAGTATCCACCACGTCTCAATCCTGTAAACTCGTATGAACATGGTTAACTTTACTATTGTGAATTGTCCCATTGACCGCAATCGAGTTACTCACAGTAGTAAATATGAGCACATATGTAAGTGTTTGCAGGATCAGGACCTAATTTTGGGTGCCTCCAATTTTTTTAGATTGATTTTTTTTTAAGCTCAGCATCCAAAATCTTACACACTCACAAGAGCGCTAAAGAACATTCTTTCCTGACTAGCTCATGTAAAATGCCAACTGTTTCTCTTTGCATTTAATACAATTTAAGGTGGAACAAATAGTTTATGAAGTTTGATATGTATTTTCATTTGATTTTTTCCCTTACTGTTGTGTACTGTGAAAATGCCCATTCTGTTTTGTGACATAGTTAAAGTGAAATTATTCAGTTGTCACTGTGGTGTCTCTAATAGCTGAATTCTGCTGTACCACAAATAACAGTGATAAAAATATTCCCCTTCTTTTCTACTTGCCGGAAGGTATAGTAAGGAGAAGATAGAATTTGACTTAACACAAGGAAGTTTAAAGTTGCCCTCTGGCAGGCAATTCCCCATTAGAAATTCTGTACCCTATTTTTCATCTCACATTTTTCAACCCAGTTGCTTAGATAGAGTTTTTTTTTTATTTTTACTTCCGAGTGGCAGTAGATAGGAAACACTGAAGAAATATTTCTTTCTGAGAAGTAGATGGGCACA